CCATGGAGAGTATTAATATAGTGCAATAACACTATCCTTGGGAAAGTATTAGCGCGACAAGAAAAATAATTCGTATATTTTACAGATGGCGAAGAAAGTGGCATAGAGGGCGGTGTTCAGGATATTTCGAACGAGTTACGTCTGGGATATTCTGAAGTGTACCTTGTACAGAGTTTGATTGATAGCATCAACCTACTGACTGAAATGGAAACACGACTGGAAAATGATGAAGATATAGACAATTTATTACCTATGTGAGACGAACACCGTGGATTCATTGTCTTGCAAAAGTAGTGTTGTCATATGGCAAAATTAACTTGCGTATACCTTAGGTCAGGTTGTAAACCTCTCACAACTAAGAGGTTTTTCATTATTCAAAATAAACCCTTCTTATTAACATGTAGTAATACGTTATTCATAATATACATCTCTCATCAACTTATTGTAATATTCAGAATAAATACATCTTGTATATAGTAATACATTATTTGTAATGTGCACCTGAAATTAAATGATCAAGTAGTTTACATTCTGCGACAAATTATTTCTTATCATTATTTCAATGCACATATTACATTTGTTACAACATTTCTGCAACCTAGCTTACAGGATTAGATTGTATCGCGTAGTATTGTATTCAGTTTATATGGGTTTAATGTGTGTATTGTACATGAAGATTATATATTATATGAATATAATTATATCGATCTACATTCTCAACATGAAAACGAGGGTTCGAATCCCTTGGTCTGCTGTCCACTTGTCAGCAATGTACAGAAATATGGCGTTCAGTCGGAGAAGACGTTAAACTGTTTACCAAGTGTGTTATTCCTGTCAAACACCATAACGGGAGAAATACTGATGCGACTTAGTTCAAGTTTTCAGTATGCGCATTACTTACGTATATATTTATAGTAATAAAAATTAGAATGTTACAAATACACAAAAAGTAAAGATATTATCAATAACGTAGAGTAATTAAATAAATGTCGTTAATTTTGGTAATTAAAATCTACTCGCATCGATGAATTGTATACAATATACGAACAATTGAGCATTTTGTAGAAAAAGTTATGTTGTTATGGCAACTATTTTATATGCATGTTCTAAACATTCAGCTAATTTGAAGTTCAACTTGTGAATTTATAGATGAAATCATTTCCTCAATTTCTCATAACAGTCGATATGATGTCATACCCATAATCTTTTGCTGGAGAATCAAGATGGAGGACTACATAAACTGATGAATATCTAGAGAATAAAAGGTGATATGTAAAAACTGTAAATTGATTTTTTTTTACATTTGCCGAGGTCTTCCATCTTGTTATCTGTGACTTTCCCTTTATCTTTAGTAAGTGTTCTCAAGGTGTACAAACTGATATGAAATTAGCACGGACAATAGTTCAGTGCAATAAATAATCTATGTGCATACATTTAATTACGTGGACGAGAAAAGCATTAAAAACAATACTTTTAGTCAATAAATAAATACACGCCCATTTTTACAATTTAAATTTACACCTGCAAACACCGTTGAATTCGTGACATTGTTTGGGCTTGTCAATTTATAAGATTTACATCGACAGTGAAGTTTAGCAGGTGTCTTCCCATGCTGGTTCAAGTTTCCGAACAACATCTTACTTCCGGCATGGAATATCCACCCGTATAGTTCGTAATGACATGGACTGTATTCGATATAAGTGTGTGTAATTGTTATGATAAGGTTCAGGGGTGGATAACAAGAGACGAACTGGTGTACACTATAACAGATGACTTAATTGAAACTCCTCCCGTGATGTGTCAAAGCACCCACTTATATACACAAGTTTACATTCCTTGCATTTTAACGGAAAGTGACTTTGGCCTTGTACATGACTGGGTAATAGGGAGACGAGCTGATAGGTAAATAATTATTAATGAGGTTGTTTCATTGGCTAAAATTAACGTACTATGATTGGCTAAATTATTTGTAAGCAGAATCCTAAATCGACATCAAGCTCGGCTAGTTATATTTCCGATAATAAGCGTATTCCTTTCACCTAATACAGTCAATGTCATTACTAAAGAAGTAGTATACATACATGACTAGGGTTAAAGTGTGTGAAGAATTCCTATCGTCGTCGTTACAAATTTGTGACTTTTACACATCATGCCCTCAAAAATGGATATAGTTCGTGTTATTACGGCTCTTCGAAGATTGCCGAGTCATTGTTTACATCGGAAATGTTAACGTGAGGATTACTAATCACAATGAAAATGATCTGGTGCCACTAATTAGCGTTGCTGTAGGGGTCATCACAGTTGTAGACTTTTCGCCGAGAGTCACGAACAGAAGGTCTATATTCGTTGACAAATTTTGTTATTCCAACGTTGAAAATGGGCAAGTGAGTGAAGACGATGGAATGTCTAAATATTTGTGCAAACCGTGTTTTAGTAAACTGATAAGACTGTCGTAACTGATAACATATCGACTTGCCCTTGATAACATATCTTGTCTTCGTTGCAACAAACACATCAGAAAGCTCTTTCACAAAGCAAAAAGCTAACAACACGTTGAAATCTATATTCCACAATTTTACCACTGTTTGAGTCGTTTCTATCGTGAGTTCTGATTGGGTAATCATTCACCATGCGTCCATGTTTACATAACACCGTATATTATGTAGGAAACTATAGTGACAAATGTTTCATGTTACCTAATTTATCCCTTAATGTTCATTTTAAGTATAGTTAATCGCACGAGTTGGAATGCCTTTATAGTTGTAAACGCACGACAACGAGTTGCGATTAACGGCTTATACTATCAGGGGAAAATTCTTTTATTCTCTGGGTTCTCTACACGTGTCAGGGGGGAATCTCGTCTCGTCTCTATATCTCGTCCCCTTGAGGTGCGGGATCGGGAAAGTCACTTATACTTTACAGTCAAATAAGACACACACAACGAAATACGTTTCAGCTCTCGTCTTAGTCGGTCAATCGAGCACTCTATAAGACACAGCGCCCTGGGGAAAAATCCCCAAGACAATCGCAAGGCTGACCCAAGACTCTTTTAGACTGCGTCAACACTCGCCCCAAGGCTCTCCAGGACTGGACTCTCGACTGCTCTAGACTTAGGCGAGGGTTCTCCGAACCCGCCTATTCACATAGTTCATACCCACCAGGGGAAGCCCCATGACTTCAAGATTCTTTTACCCCTTACGTCATGAACCCACGTGACCGAGGCCACCTGGCAGCGCCACAGGTAGCCGTCCTTCACTCTGGTTCCTTTCTCTCCGCCTC